CAATGTTGTTGCCTCATCGATATCAGCCTTACTTACAGCTCGATTAGAACGCATAAATGGTGTCATAGCAGATGTGCACAATGCATGATTATGTTTCTGATCAGACTTACTTATAACCCACTGATCGTTTGTATTTGTTGCTGTAACTACGACTCTAGCCTTACATCCTGTTCTTGTGACTGGCGTATGAGCACGTTGACGATCAACAGTATTGACTTTTGATACTCGAAACCCTTCTTTGGAACAACAAAATTCTTGTGTCTTCACATTCCCTTCCACGTCAAGCCGTGTTGTTCCCTTACGTGCACTAAACCCATGTTCCCGTGCGAATCCCTTGTAAAAGTGCCAAGCTTGATCACGTGAACAGAAGAGCTGACCAACCAATCTGTCAGATTCATCAACATTATGTACTTCATGGCATTCCTCGGTTGGCTTAACATTGTCTACATCAGTATTATCCATGGCAAAAATTTTGTTGTGCAAGTTCAGTGCTCCAGGAGTTGATGGATATGTAAACGAAGGTTCATTTTGAACATGTTTCTGTAGTTAAAGGGTGGGTACAACATTAAATTCGCAGTACATATTTAGGTATGTACAATAACTACAAGTATATTATCATTTTAAATTCGCAGTACACTGTTAAAAAAATTGAAACATAAATTACATAAGTTTTAAAAAAAGTATCGATCCTTTTTATAAAAAGTATGGACACTTTCAATAAAATAGGTAAACATATGATGTAATAGGTAGCCCTTATATAATGTAATAGGTATCGTTTATATAATGTAATAGGTAGTGGTTATATTGTAAAGTGTCTATCCTTTTTATAAAAGTGTCCATACTTTTTTCACTGTGGAAAACATTAATTTAAGGTTATCTTTTGAGTGAGTTTTAAGATATTAATTTAGTAATTATAGGCGTCTAATGATTTATTTTTTACGTTACGGTATATATTATTATTAAATTAAAAATTCTAAATAATATTTTATAAAATATAAAAACAATCAAATAATTTTTTGTGCAAATGAAATTATTAAATCAATATTGTAGGTGGAAAACATGAAACACTGTTAAAAAATTGAAACATAAATTACATAAGTTTTAAAAAAAGTATCGATCCTTTTTATAAAAAGTATGGACACTTTCAATAAAATAGGTAAACATATGATGTAATAGGTAGCCCTTATATAATGTAATAGGTATCGTTTATATAATGTAATAGGTAGTGGTTATATTGTAAAGTGTCTATCCTTTTTATAAAAGTGTCCATACTTTTTTCACTGTGGAAAACATTAATTTAAGGTTATCTTTTGAGTGAGTTTTAAGATATTAATTTAGTAATTATAGGCGTCTAATGATTTATTTTTTACGTTACGGTATATATTATTATTAAATTAAAAATTCTAAATAATATTTTATAAAATATAAAAACAATCAAATAATTTTTGTGCAAATGAAATTATTAAATCAATATTGTAGGTGGAAAACATGAAACACTGTTAAAAAAATTGAAACATAAATTACATAAGTTTTAAAAAAAGTATCGATCCTTTTTATAAAAGTATGGACACTTTCAATAAAATAGGTAAACATATGATGTAATAGGTAGCCCTTATATAATGTAATAGGTATCGTTTATATAATGTAATAGGTAGTGGTTATATTGTAAAGTGTCTATCCTTTTTATAAAAGTGTCCATACTTTTTTCACTGTGGAAAACATTAATTTAAGGTTATCTTTTGAGTGAGTTTTAAGATATTAATTTAGTAATTATAGGCGTCTAATGATTTATTTTTTACGTTACGGTATATATTATTATTAAATTAAAAATTCTAAATAATATTTTATAAAATATAAAAACAATCAAATAATTTTTTGTGCAAATGAAATTATTAAATCAATATTGTAGGTGGAAAACATGAAACACTGTTAAAAAAATTGAAACATAAATTACATAAGTTTTAAAAAAGTATCGATCCTTTTTATAAAAAGTATGGACACTTTCAATATAATAGGTAAACATATGATGTAATAGGTAGCCCTTATATAATGTAATAGGTATCGTTTATATAATGTAATAGGTATCTATCTCGCATGTGAGTACTTTATTCCAACCATGTGACAAGTGTGACAACTCCATCAACTCACAACTCAGCTTTGAACTCAATCAATATTGTCTTTTAGCTTGATGGTTCATAAAGCATGTTACTTGAACAGTATGAATCAATTATGCAATTTTCATGTTCAATTTAACACTGCATTTCAAATTCATTTCATATGTAATTGGAGTTTGAATTTAAATTTCAATTTGAGTTTGAATTTCAATATATATTTCGGCTCCACTATAAATATTAGCCCAAGCCAATATGCATGTTATCATTGATTATTCCTAATTTCCATTGTTTTTTTCCAACGTATAAACGCGAGGGAAATCCCGACCATTTTATTTTTTGGTCAACTTTAAAGCGTCAGAAACGTTTCGGGCGTATGATCTGGGTGGTATACAAGAAATGTAACAAATAGCAACTAAAATCATAAGTTGAGTACCACCCAAATCATAAGTCTGAAATACTTCCGATGCTCATCAAAATCCAAAGCTCATATGGTGCCAAGCAAAAGGAAATCAAAATCCAAATCTCATATGATGCCAAGCAATAGGTAGTGGTTATATTGTAAAGTGTCTATCCTTTTTATAAAAGTGTCCATACTTTTTTCACTGTGGAAAACATTAATTTAAGGTTATCTTTTGAGTGAGTTTTAAGATATTAATTTAGTAATTATAGGCGTCTAATGATTTATTTTTTACGTTACGGTATATATTATTATTAAATTAAAAATTCTAAATAATATTTTATAAAATATCAAAACAATCAAATAATTTTTTGTGCAAATGAAATTATTAAATCAATATTGTAGGTGGAAAACATGAAACACTGTTAAAGTATCGATCCTTTTTATAAAAAGTATGGACACTTTCAATATAATATAATGTAATAGGTAAATTTGCAATGCTATCGGTATAAATATACCGGTTTACTTATAAAATAGGTAAATATAAGCGCTACCTATTACATTATATAAGCGCTACCTAGTATGTTATTGTACTTTATAATATTTCCGGTTAAATAATATAACATAACCGGTCTAAATTTTAACCGGTCACTTGTTTAACCGGTCACGCCGTATATTAGCCGTTTTTTAGGCGCCGCACCGCAGAACGACCCAAGAATTTAAGCAAGAACGAGATTGGTTTTATAAATAAACAAGTTTGAGTTTTTGGGAACGTACATCTTATTGTTGACGACTATTATTCAAGGTACAACGATCACTCAATTTGTTGACAATTACGAAAGTATCACGAATATCATGAAAAAGTTTTTTAAAAGTCAATGGCATTAAAGTTTTTTCAAAGTCTATGGTATTTTCTAGGAAAAATACCATATTTATATAAAAAAAGTGCATAAAAAAGTTTTTAAAAATGTAAAACAAGTGTGTATGGTTAATGAATGAATATTAAATTGCAAATATGTTGAGAATATTTTTCTTCTTCTAAATGTATAAAAATTAGCATAATATAATCAAGTACTATATTAAAATTCTTCTAAATGTGATTATAAAGTAGTATCTGTTTTAAATATTTTCAATCATTTGACAAGTTCAATCATCCTTACAGTTGTTGATGTTCAAATATATAATCTCTAAGAATAACAATGATTCTTTTAACCAGTAACATAAATAGATTAGTACAATTGTAATCGTTAATTAAAATTCTTTTATTGATATATTTTTATGTATCTAATTTTTTATAGTACGACAGAATCTAACATATACTTAAAAAATCAAATGAAATCGGTGGGCAAAACATGACGGAGATTGTTTGACAGAGTTAGGGAGGCGCGTGGAACACAGATTGTCATAAGCTACGCATTTCAAGAAAATAGAAAAAAGGAATTATCAAAGAATGTTGTCGAGCGTGTGAACATGGTCGGCGGGCCGTTGGTTTGCCTTTAAGGCTGTTAACTCTCGCTGTACAAAAACGAAAAACGACACTCCCAACAATTTGAAAAACTGTTACCGTTACGATTTTCGTCTAAAGGTATAATATTTTCCGTTCATGTTCCCTTCTTATAAATAGATGACTCCCTCGCCTGCCTCGTTGTTTCTCAGTTTTCAAACTTTGACAAAAGATTAAAAAAAAGTCCAAGTCTTACTGAAAGAATAAGAATTTTATTTATTTATTTGTTTATTTTATTAATTTGGAGCTTTGGTTTTTGATTTTGATTCCTCAGAAACAAGAATTTCAAGGTAAACTTTGCAAATTTTGTATTAAAATTGATTTCTTTTCTTGATGTTCTCCTTTATTTGAATCAAATTCTTAATATTTGTTTCTGGGTTTTCATTTTGGTTTGTATTACTTCTGTGAGAAATGAAACATCAGCTGATTTTGAGTGCTTGGTATATGGATTGAAGAAACTTTTTATGGGAAAAAATTGTTTTAGTTCCTCATTTGAAAAGATAATAAAACTATTTTCTCTTTCTGGGTTAGCTCTCTTGTTTTGGCAATTAATTTATAAAACATATATTGAAAAAGAGAATTGCTTTAAGCTTCAACTTTTTTATCATTGCAAGTTGGTCTGTTTCAGTTTTGAGGTTCGTTTTGGTTCGCCAACTGTTTTTGTATTTTTCTTTGATCTTGGAATGTTCCAATAGGTTGAATGTTGATTAAGATACTTTTATTGTGTAATTTTTAGTATTTCTATGAGAAAATTTATGTATGAACATGGCTTTTGCCCTTCAATTTGGATTACTCTCTCTTTCTAAGCTTTGTTTGTCGAATGCATAACTCTGAACACGTAGAAGTTTAACCCTTTTTTTGCATTGTTTTTGCAGGTCAATTTTGTTTTCCTGAAGGCATAACTTTGTTGTAGTGTTGAAGTTTCTCACAGTATTCGTTGAAAATCCTGTCCGTAACTTCCTATAGCTTTCTTGAGGAAAGCTGATGCCAAGCTCATAGTATGGATTCAAGACAGCTTTTCAGATACAGTCGCCTATCATACTCGACCTTTTATTCAACTTTGCCTTCAATACCTGACAAGCTGTTTAGTTCTTTGAAACCCGACATAGGAAACTCACCCAACTCGCCCTTTTCGACTCCATTTGATTGTGATACCAACACCACATTGAGTGACAGCCAGGAGCAGCATAGCTCTACAAAGAATCTCTCAGGACTTGGCCCTTCTTGCAACTCTTCACTTGAATCCAACTCTTATTTCCATCGTTTGAGTCCCTCTCTGGGCTGCAGGGGTGAAAGCTTACTATTCAGCTCCGGTGGAACTTCTTATGCACAAGATGCAAATTCTGGCCACAAAGTAAGATACTCTTTGCAGGAATTGGAGACGGTACTTATGGCACCTGATAAGGATGAAGAGATAACCGCCCCTAGTGTTTCCCTTGGAGAAAGTAGTAGACCACAGACGACTGGTAAGCGATCTAGGGCATGGAGTCAGGAAAGGCAAGGATCTTTGGTGCTTCAGCCTCAGACATCCTTTGTCTCTAACCATAGGCAGTCAACTGAAGTCGCTCATGTTGAGAAACGTCAGAAATCATTAGAGGGTTTGTTTCTTCAGGGTATTCCATCCGGCAATCTGAAGCAGTTGCTGATTGCTTGTGCTAAGGTCCTCTCTGAAAACAATATGGCCGAATTTGATAAGTTGATTGCGAAGGCTAGGGATGCTGTGTCTATCAGTGGGGAACCGATCCAGCGTCTTGGTGCTTATATGGTGGAAGGTTTGGTGGCAAGGAAGGAAGCATCAGGGTCTAGCATATTTCGTGGCCATCGTTGCAGAGAGCCTGAAGGCAAGGACTTGCTCTCCTACATGCAAATCCTGTATGAAATCTGCCCGTACTTAAAGTATGGTTACATGGCAGCCAATGGTGCCATTGCTGAAGCATGCCGAACCGAAGATCGCATTCACATTATTGATTTCCAGATTGCTCAGGGAACACAATGGGCGACTCTCTTGCAGGCACTTGCAGCTAGACCAGGTGGAGCTCCTCATGTTCGGATTAACGGAATTGATGATCCTCTTTCTAAATATGCTCGTGGTGGTGGATTGGAAGCTGTTGAAAGACGTTTGGCTGCACTATCTGAGAAGTTCAATATTCCGGTTGAGTTTCAAGGAATGCCAGTTTTTGCAGAAGATATCACAAGGGACATGCTTGATGTCAGGCCTGGAGAGGCTCTGGCGGTCAACTTCCCTCTGCAGCTCCATCACACCCCTGATGAGAGCGTTGATGTGAACAATCCTAGGGACGGCCTTCTACGAATGGTGAAGTCACTTTCTCCCAAGGTCACCACATTGGTAGAGCAAGAATCAAACACAAACACAGCCCCTTTCCTCCCCAGATTCATCGAGACCCTGGAGTACTACTTGGCAATATTCGAGTCCATAGACGAGACACTACCAAGGGACAGAAAGGAGCGAGTCAACGTGGAGCAACATTGCCTAGCCGGTGATATCGTTAATGTCATTGCCTGCGAGGGAAGAGAGAGGATTGAACGCCACGAGCTCTTCGGTAAGTGGAAGTCCAGGCTAACAATGGCCGGATTTCGGCAATACCCTTTAAGCTCATACGTCAATTCGGTGATACGAAGCCTGATGAAGTGTTACTCTAAGCATTATACACTTGCCGAGAAGGATGGTGCTATGTTGTTGGGGTGGAAAGATAGAAACCTTATATCAGCTTCTGCTTGGCACTGTGAAAGCAGCTGAGATTCATACAAAGGTAGAAAAACGAAATAATCAGTTCATTTTTTTTATAGGTTATTGTTGTTGAGATATGTTGAATAACATCCTTATAAATCCAAGACGGTGACATTTTCGCATACATCATTAGGCAAATCACCACCGTTTCCTTTTGTTCATTTTTTTTTGTCTTTAATGGGATTCGATGTATGTGTAACAAGTAACAACAATGAGGGATGTGTTTTTCTCTGGTTAATGATTCTATGTATGTGACACAAATGACATGTATCCCCTGTATTATACAGTGTATAAATACGGAGAAAGAAGAAAGAAAATGTTCTTATTCATTGCATAAAAGAATTAATAAGAACAATATCTTATCTCCCTTTAATTGCAGCAATTTAACTTGACAGCTCCAAGGGGTAAATAGTTTCAGAGTGGGACAAGCTCAATGAGCAAGGAAGTGATCCCACCTTTATCTGCTTTGCCAACATGCGTATATCCATCTCCTTCTCTGTAAAGCACATCCATAACCCTTGCCAGGTTCAGACTTTTATTCAGAACCGCCACTGTCATTTCCGTTGGTTTCAGGAACTCTTCATTTACGTCTTTCCAAGAACTCTCTATATGCTTGTTGAATTCATCGTATGCCTCTTTTGCTGTCTCGCCATATTGTTCCATGTAACACTCGATGGCGTAGCAATCATCTTCTCTCCTGTGTTTGAACTTGTGTTCTGCAATGTCATCCATGAATCTACAGATTATTGTGGAAGCTTTATCTTAGGGTCAGTGGCAGCCCATGTAAAGGTCTCTGGGGTTATAACATCTCCCATTCCCACGAAAGCCGTAATGGCAAGCATGGCGTAGCCTCAGGTTGCAATGCATTGTCCCTAAACTCCTTGAATGTTGGTTTGTAGTTTTGATGAGTCCATTTGGCTTCAAGAAGGTATGCTTGAGCAAGTCGTATCATCTGCATGAGCATCAAAATCAAACAATTGTGCGCTTTCTATGTATATCGAAACTAAATCGGGTGTTAATCATTGGCAATCATAGACATACTGCCTTTCTAGCATATTCGACACGGTATTGTCTTCCTTGCTCTGCCATCAGTTGCTCCATTTCCTCATAACATCCAACAGTGCCTTTTAGCTTATTTTCATGAAATCTGGGAGCTGATCCATGCATTTAATATCCCACCCGATACACAATTGCAAGGCTAAATGTTCAGTATTTAATCATTGATCATATATGCACTTGAAATGAATGTTGATTTCACAAATCAATAAATCTAACCTCTCAATGGCATCAGTATAGGGAATGAGCTCATCATATGTATCATCCACAATAGATGCCATGGCTATACTTTTGTCAACATCTTTCTACCAAGAGAGTACTGAGGCTCAAAGTATACTCCCATTATCCAGAAGTAACCTTCAACCACTATCTATTGCAAATGGTAGCTTTCTTGTAAAGTCCAAATCCTTCCACCACCTATAGTAAATGCCATAATCCAAACCATTAGCACATATAATCTTCAATTAGTATAACAGAGTTTTGGATTTTTTTGCTATTCCAAAACACTTACCTACAAATCTAACTTAGCTCTTTCCTGTGCAGAAGCTGCAACAAATTGAAATATATATTTGCAAACTCCAGCAATGCCTTATTATGTGATTTGATATCCTGGTATAAGGAAATGTATTGCCGATCCTCAACCCTCTGCAAGCCTCTTCGGATTGACTGCTTTAAGGCATGAGCAACTTCTTCGGACAATGGATAGTCTAAAGTTGGTGCTGCAAGAGTTAGGTGAGTGGTGGTGAAAGAAATTGCCCCATCCAATACATCTTCCCATGGATCCGCATATAGAAAGCTTCGTAAAGTTCCAACAATCCTCGCACATCAGTCGTCAAGGATGACTTGAAATTTCCTCGTTCATCTCTGAACTTGTTGAATGCCTCTGCTCAAATTAGCAGTACCGGAAGTCATTATCAAACACATTCTTGGTATATGTATATAATACATCTGTATAAAGTACTATGTCTTTCTACTTCTAAAGTTGAAGACTTGATTACCACATGAAACATCAAAGCGTGCTCTCTAAGTAATCGAAATAGAAGAGTAGTAGTATGGAGATCGTTGTCAGCCTCAATGTTGTCATGGTATATAGCTTCCAGTGCATCTTCAATCTCCTTTTCAAAATGGTAATTCACACCCAACCTTTGGACTGCATCAATCAGGGATAACTTTTCCTTGGAATTATCTATGGTTTCCACGAGCATCCTCCTCACTTCTTCCTTTAATTCTTTATATCTTAGTTCTTTTGCAGTATCAATATCCTGCTTAAAGAAGATGCAATTGATTTTCTCATTTATAAATAAATAAACAGACAATTAACAAATGTTAAAGCAATCTTCTCTAACTTTTTTATTATTTGAAAATTAAAATCAATAGATATACCTTATCTGGACAATTGAGGAAGACGTCTCTCCAGATGCTGGGATGAAAATTGGCTTTGGGACGAGTTTCCGAGTTGCTGGAAACGGGTGAAGCATGAACTTGAGAAACTTTTGAAACAATTTCTGTCGTTAGATTTGGAACCAAATACTGTTGAAGTAGCGCAGATATGTTGTGAGGCCAAGGCTGCAATTGTTGCATGCATTTATACATACCATATCACTACTTGCAGTCAATCAAAGACAACTTTAAAAGTAAGGAAATCAAAGATGTGGTAATGCAAATAAAAAGGAAAGGCTTTCTACTTTTGTTCAAAGTTGATGCCTGCAAAACATTACTAAATAAGTATTAATTTAAGATTTTTGTATACTTGGACAGAATTTAGGTCATCTATCTATTAGCAGCAGTCCTTGGGATCACCAACCTATTTGAATTATTTATTGTTGAAATTTCTAAGTAAACAACAGTTGCCACTTGGTGAAAACTTTGAGTACAAAGCATGCTACCATGCTGATCAGTTGATTACATAAATAAAGTGAACAGAGACGACATTTATATTAAATTACTGTTTTTGACTAATTATTTTTAAATTATCGTATGCAGATTATAATTGCATACAAAGACATTCAACATTGTCTACCATTTCATAGATTATTAGTTAAATACAAAACTATATATGAAATTAAATATAATAATTAAGCTTAATTAAGTCGAGCTTGAATAATTTTATTTTAAATTATACTTGAGCTATTTACTATTCTAGTTCGAATCGACTAAAAAAAATAATTCCACAAACTCACGTGCAGTACTATGCTCTTCAATCTTAGCACAAATCATCCAAGCAAGACGGCTATAAAAAATTCAAATAGAAGGAAAAAAAGAGTTATTTTGGCTTCTGTTTTCAGGCATTGGGAATTCTCACTTGTCAAACATGGTGTGATGATTTAAAGGCAAAAGTCGTTGAATAATGCAATGGAAAAAAATTCTTCATATAGTGCAGTCGAACAATTATTTGTTTAAGTAGGGTGACCTATATAGTTCTCCAGGAGCATACGACAACCTCCATAGGTCTCCAGGAGCATACGACAACCTCCATAGGTCTCCAAGAATACACGGCGACCTACCTAGCGGGCCATGCATGCTAGAGAAGAGCTGCAACAGCGAGGGAAGAGAGAAGAGTTACTACAACAGAGGAGGTTTTGTCGCAAGGAGCATTTGGAGACCTATGGAACACTTGGCGACCAATGAGATTACTTTAGCAAACATACCAGTTTTAGGATAAGTTGTGCAAAATTTAAAAAAAATTCACGATCGCGACAGCCACAGTGATTGCGATAGCATCCGTTATGTCCGCAACCGCGATAAACACGATGCGATCAAAAAGTGACCGCGGGCGCTATTTAAATCCCTTATCCTAATTGTGGTATTGTAAAATTTAATGCTGATGGAGCTTCAAACCGAGGCTTAGCAGGTTGTGGTGGAGTCTTAAGAACTTCAAATGGAGATGTAAGGGCTTTGTTCTCTGGTCCTTTATCAGAAAATGGTCTCGAATTTGCAGAAGTTTCTGCTGTTTTAACAACAATGAAAATTTTTAAAGAAGCCGGTTGGTGTGTCGATACACCCATTCTTATTGAATTAGATTGTCTGGTAATTTTGAATTGGTTAGCTCAACAATGGTGGCACCTTTTGGAGGAGATTGATTGCTTGTCGAGAGAACTTTCGTCGATTCAGTTTATCTATGCTTCAAGATCGTATAATGGAATGGCCGATCATCTTGCAAAGGAAGGTATGTTTAGGCATGAACATTTTAAAGCTTGGTGGTAGCTAGCTTACTTTTCAGTGATCGGTTTTGTTTTTTTTGGGTAAGTTTTGGTGGTGTTTATGTTCTCTGGGTGATGTTTTGCCTTTTGCAGCTTGATTCTAAGTTGATTAACAAATTGGTTATGTACCACTATTTTCCTCCTAGATTTAAGGAGGGTTTTAATGGGGATCATAATAGGGTTCTTTCATTTTATCCAATAAAATATATTGTTGAGCAAAAAAACAATCCTTATTTTATAATAATTTTTTACTAAATAAATTTAAGCAGAAGTTACTAATTTTATTCGAAATAGAAAATGTCTTAAATTGCAATAACGATTTACAATCATAATCATAAATTAAACATATAATTAGGACAATTTCCTATAATCATTGAAACAAAACTAGAAGCTTAAGATTACATAAGGACCATACAAGGAAAGATTAAAATCTAACCAAGAAAACTCGAACAAAGATAAATACAAACATATGTAATCGCATCGGCAAACGGACCACAAAAGGAGATCAAGCTACTGAAAGACCAATAAAAAACTGCAAATCAGACTCGAGCAACGTGAAAAAATTATTCACGAACACGTAACGGGTATCCAAATCCAATCCGAGGATCCAAAGCAGGGAAGATCAACAATATAACATATAATTAAGTGTCATCTTGATCATTTTTACGATGTCTAATCAATATTTAGAGAAAATAAATAAATGAAAATAACGGCCAAATAACTAGAAAATATGTCAAAAGATAGAAGAAATCGTGTCATAAAAGCAAAAAAATACGTGTCATACATACATATTTATTGGAAATAAAAACAAGAGAAAATAAAAGGACAATAAAAAATACTGATGTTCGGCAACCAACATTAAAGTTAGTATCGCCACCGATCAACAAAGATAAAAAAAAAAGAGATAAACGGCTTATCAATTAGAAAAAAACTAAAGCACTAAATAATTTTCAATTAGTAAAACTGTAATAAAATCTAATTTAATTTCTAGCTGGAATTTAAAATAAAACTTAATTTCTAATTAAAATTTAAGACAGTGAAGCAAAGGGCTCAATACCATTAGTAGTTTGAGTTAAAAAGCTTGATTTCATTGACCTGCACATATATAATATATGAGGATTAACTTGATTCAAATCCTGCAACAGGAAAATATCAAATTATTCATTATCTTTTTTTCCATCAAATCTTTATTCAACTTAGGACTTTGATTTCTCATTCATCAACAATCTTAAACCACATAATAAAATACTTTGGCCTCAAATTCTGGTTATGCTTGTACCAATTACTTGTTCTCTTACAGACAAATCTTGGTATGTCTCCGCGTATGTTGCAGACAAAATCCCATTTTGTCACCTTTAAATGTCCCAATGTTGAAATGAAGCTGCCATGTAAGGAGGTTTGACAAAATGTATTTCAAATTTCAAGTTTCAAGCAATTTCCCCCTCTTCCAATCCTGTCATTGTGTCATACAATGGCTTGTTTAGTGTCTCTGGCAAGTAATATGCAACCATTCCTCCAATCAATCCACATACCCCAAACGCCATGAATGGAAAACCGCCACCCAAAACCACCACAAACGGTTCCAATATAGCTCCAATTTGTGCTGCCTGAATTGCGCATCCCAGTGCCACGTTTCTCACCACCGTAGGGAAGAGCTCGGGCGTGTAGATGAACAACAAATTGTAAGTCCCGGCCATGCCGAATATCCCGAGAATCCCACTACACACTCTTGTTACTTTCCATATTCCTACATTCCCCATCATGCTCCCCATGAAGCAAAACATTGCACTAAACCATTTTGTCCCGATTGCCAATGGCTTCCTTCCGAATCTGTCGAGTAGAACCGCTGTTATGGCGAATGCTGGCATTTCGGCAACGACATTGACGAGGACAGTGAGGTAAAGGTTTGTCCCGAGGTTGACAACATTTAAGCTAAGGCCGTAGTACACAACAGAGCAGGTGAAGTTGATTCCCAATGCTAGGAAGAGTCGAATGCGAGTGATCGGTGATTGGACCACATCTATAACAGAACCACTGATTGTTTCTTTTTCTACTGTTGCTGATTTCCAACTTTGATTCCCACTTGAAGTGTCATTAGCTTCATCATCCAGTGCAATGGTGACCCCATCAAGAAGGTGATGTCCATTGGACTTGGCTATGGTACGCATAATTTTCATCGCTTTGTTCGTTCTCCCGTGAACGAGATACCACCGAGGGGATTCAGAGATGAAAGGAATCACCAGGACAAGGAACAGAACAGAGGGAATAGAGGATGCAACATAAAGAGCACGCCATGTAGGGAAAACGTAAGCTATGCCCGAGAGTAATGCGATTCCTCCCGAAAAGTTATAGAACGTCGACATTCCAGCAATGCCGCGTTTCGACGGACCAACAGGTTCGGTAGCAAGGACAAAGGCACATAGGCCAACGCCTCCAGTGCTGAATCCAGTTAAGAACCGGAGTAGGAGATACGTAACGTAGTTTGGGGCTAATGATGTAAGGCAACCAAATATAGCATTTAAGATGCAAACTGCTGTTAAGGAACCTTTTCTTCCCAGTTTAGAGTCTGATAGATGACCAAATCCAGCACCTGAAAATGTCGATCAAAAATCGAATTTCAGCCATGGATTTGATCACCAGAAGTTAAACAACAGAGAATTTTCCAGCATATTCATTGCGTATCAGTAAACGACAACAAAAAACAAATTGAACAAAGAAACAAAGATCAATTGGGTTGTAACTTGATAGTAAACGACAACGAGAGAGACACACACAAGTCTGCTAATTACTGGTGTTTCGCATCATTCCGAAAAGCAGCTGGATAGTCTTTCCTTAGGATAACAAGCACCCTTCTTAGAGACGTGTTGATTTCATTTCGCACTTCAACATTTGATTCGATTTGGATTAACTAATTAATATATAACTGAATTATCCAACTCCAAAACAGCTACTGTGTCCATTTTTGCATTAAATTAAGCTAGCGTGTGACCAATACTCATTCATACGTTTTAACTATAAGAGTTTCTTTTATCCCACATGTGGATCAGATTTGCAAGTCATATGACTTGATTGGAGAAGCTTCAAGTGGCAAATAAAAAATTTGGTTCGTTAACAAGACAACTAATTATTTGCCTGCTATATGTTTATATAATAATATCATATGCATTGATTAAGTTATCACCGCCGCTTGCTTTAATACATTTTTCTTCTCTTCTGATATGCCCTGAACTTCGTTTGAATGTCTGTCAACCCAAAATTACTGTTAATTTGGGTTAAATTAATGAAGTAACTTAATTTGCAGGCTTGATTCGTGTAGCATATTCTGTGTGTTTTTGTACCTTTTTTTTCTTGGGAATTTGAGGTCCACAAATGCATTAACTGCAACCATGTGCTGTTCCCAGGACAGCAAAGCTTGCCTTTTTAAGTGGCAAAACTCACGTAATAATGCATTGAAAAAAAAATTCACCATATATTGTTTTCGAAGAATTAATTGTTGAAATGGGGTGATTGCTACAGTGATTTAAGATTTAAAATTAAAATTATTTTTTATCTAGAAGAGCAAACGGCAGAAATAAAGTTTTTCAACTTCCTCCTACCCAAACCCACTCCCACGCAAAAGCTTTCTCAACTCTCAAGTCTCAACTCCCCCTCCCCCCAACCTTTCATCATTTAAAAAAAAAAATTAAAGTTTCATCTCTACAAAATTAGATCTAAGGAGTAAGTATTTTTTATTTTACCTTCTCAAATAGAAGCCCGTCGACCGTCGTTACTGCTCAACACCGGCGGAGAAGCTCCACGGACGCATACAACAACAAGATTTCCCTCAAAACACCTTTGTCTTCCCAATTTGATCTTTGGTGAGTCTTGCTAAATATGCTTTATTTTTTGTTTTAGAGTTTAAGAGATATTTGCATTTTTCAAATTTTGTTGTTGAAAATGTGAGTTTCAACTTTCAACTTTAGATTGATATTTCTTTTGTACTGCTGTACTATTTTAATAGATTTGATTGAGTTTTTACTTTTTTTCAATTACTTTTTTCCTTTTTTTAACTTTTCTGATGAATATATTCCTTTGATTCAGTTTTTTATTTTTATTTTTGTTTCATAGTAACGGTACATTACGGTAATAGTATGAGTATCCCGTTATCGTTGATATTTACCGTTATCCGTAGACTGCGAACACGACGGACTGATTTTGACTTGAATCAGCTACCCGCCGTTATTTTTCTGAATTTCGACGGATACTATTACTTTTTTCGTCCCACTATTTGAATCTCTGCTTATGATGAATCGAAGACGCAGAAGGTTGCCTTTCGGACACAATAGACAAACAAGAAGACGGATCTGACCACCAGTTCGCCTCACCAAGAAGGATGCTTTCATTTACAGCTTTAATCCAAATAAATGGTCACATCTTAGAATAGTGGTGATCAAGTTTTTAGTTCTATATATAAAGAGTATGTTATAATCTTTAACATTATCGAAGAAAAAATTATTTTAGATGGACATAATCCCTTTGTAGTCTAGCTTTTGAAGGTTTATGTTGCATAGATAAGTTTTGTAGGAATATCAAGAGAGTGAAGTTTTGTAGGATATTGAGAGAATGATTTGATATAGTTCGGATTTTAATATATATCGAATTTTAAGTTTCATGAGATATCATGTATTTGTATTCGTGATCTCTGTATTTATAGTGAATTATTATTCTTTTTATTTATGGAAATAGACAAGGTTAAATTACGCTAAATCTTGTCTCTTACATATGTCTTATTATATGTTGACATCGTTTCGATTTTTTCACTCACAAATTCCTAATAAGGACATTTGAGCAGTGATTTTAAGTTATAGAATTTCAGAGAAATTTATTACAGCATGTTACAATAATAATATTGGAACATGCAAGAAGAATTGAGTTTTTAATTGTATGAGAGTAATTCTTGATCAATTAAATGGTATTTTCAGTCATTCGTATTTTTTTGGCATTTACAAGCCCTAAAATCAAACGTTGACAATTTTTTTTATTGTTATCAACAACCACCAATCACTAAAAAACAAGAGAAAGAAAATAGGTATTGATCGTAATCGATGCTTAAATAATGCTACAACAATCACACAAGTATACGTATCGTCACCAAGTAATAAAGTGAAAGCTATAGATGTTTCGGATGTCGAACCCATAGAGAGCTCAATAGTGAAATAAGAGGAAAACAACAATATATAAATTCATAATGATAAAAGCATGAGAATGTTATAGCTAACAGTGGAGCAATCAGACCAATGGACCAAACAATGTTGTAATTATCTGGTAGCTTTCAACGTAATAATGCTGTAAAAATACGATTATATCTCATGCAATGATTAACACATTAATTCTTCTCAAATATTAATCACTTAACCAATAGAATTAACTCTCATCAAATCTATTAATTAAGTTGTCAATTAAAGCATCAGAGTAGTAAATTCGCAGCAAAATCATCAAAATCAACTCAAGTATCAACAATTCTTCCCTAATATGCAAATGATGTAAAATATGCTAATTATCTCAGTGACATGTTAAAGTACAAGCTTAACATAAGTAAAAAGGCTTTAAATAATAATTCTTTAGTTATCAGTGACATGTTTTAAAAAAATTATAAATGTATAATATCACGTTAAACACTCAAATACATGTATATATGTAATATTATCTCATAACGTTAATTATAAATTGATTAACTATTTTTGTTTAAAAATTGTCAATAAAAGTTGTGGGCTCAAGTATATTTATGAACAAACAAAGGCGGCTAATTGAATTTCCTTTATATATAATTAAAGAGAGTGATTTTGTTCTATTAGAGTAATTCTTATAATATAGTGACTTACGATTTGAATTTGTGAGGATAAAGAATGTGACCATTCGTTTCAACATTTTTTTTTTGAGATGAAAAGGACTTTATTTAAATTAATTAATATATTTATATTAAGTTCATATTTAATATGAGTAAATTTCTTTACTATTTTGGTGAATTATTACTTCAATATTGACCTGATGATAAGATAAATATGATGGTGATTTTTTTGAAAAATATAAATTTTATTTACCTGTCAGACACCTTTCAGAAAATTTTATCGATCTAACACTATTTGTAGAAAGGCGCGAATATCATCCGTGTCTTACGCTAACGTGGCGTCAACTCAGATAAAACGCACATTTATGGGATGACTGTTAGATCCGTAAATTTTTTTAAATGGTATCTAACAGGTAATTAATTTCTATTAGGATGATTTTTGTGTAAAAATGCCACTGGAAAAAAGATAAAATTTAATTAGCTAATCATTTTCATTTCCTATCTTCTAAAAATTAAGTCCTATGACCATAAAGAAAATCAAGTGTCTTTCACACTTATCATTTTCTTCAAATAATTATTTTTTTTCTTTTTTATTAAATTTTTTCATTCAATCCTGAAAATAAGATAATAAAATACATTTTTTCAATAATAATAATAATGAAAAATAGTGTCAATAAACTTTGTCTCGTCTCTTGATTTTGTCATTATTTAACCAACTTTTTTTGTGTTGAATACGTTTTTAAATTTAATTGATCTTCAAAATTATTCTTAGATACATTGAGATATATATATATATATATATATATCGAGTATAAAATTCTTATAAATCTATATTTTAATGTGTTTCCAATACGCTGATTGAATGGATAATTAGTGAATTCTTATAAACCATTGTTGGTTTAAGGGGATACGATGTTTAAGGGGATGACGCGAATTTAAAGGTTTACTATCATTAACTCATTAAATTTTTATTAATGTGTGATGCCAATAAAAGAATACAAATTAATGACTCAATTATAAAAATAAAATAAATTAAAAATAATAATAAAAAATAATTTTTTTTTGAAAAATTAATGATAAAAACTCAATTATCAAAGTCAACGTCGGTATTGTCTAGGGAAAACATCACTAGTTTATTGGTTAAATAATGACAAAATCAAAAAACGAGACAAAATTTATTGGTACTATTTTTCATTATTATTATTATTATTGAAAAAAATGTATTTTGTCATCTTATTTTCAAGATCTAATGAAAAATTTTATTAAAAAAGAAAAATATTATTTGAAGAAAATGATAAGTGTGAAAGTCACGTAATTTTCTTTATGATCATAGGACTTAATTTTTCAGAAGATAAGAAATGAAAATAATTGATTAATTAAATTTTATCTTTTTTCAAAAAAAAAACAAAGCTATTTCCTTAATATTTTGTGATGTTTTTACACAAAAATTATCCTAACAAAAATTAATTATCTGTTAGGCATCTTTCAGAAAATTTTACAGATCTAACACTCATCCCAGAAAGGTACGAATCATCATTTGTATTTTATCCGATTTTACGCCACGTCAAGATAAAGCGCGAATGATGATATACGCCTTTATGCAAGGGTGTTAGATCAGTAAAATTTTCTGAAAGGGTGTCCGACAGGTAAATAAAATATGCCAGGGTGATTTTTCGATAAAAACACCAAACATGATTAGCTAAAAGAATATTTAATAAAAATTAATTATTTCAGTTAAAATGTTAACAATTTACTTTGCATAACACATAT